GTGTTGTATGGAAACCAAGCTGACAATAAATTTCATTAAAAAAAAAAAGGAAGGAAGGGAAGGGAGGGGAGGGGAGGGGAGGGGAGGGGGATGCATTCCAGACTTACTATTTTGGGATTGTTAATGGTGGCTGGGTGCCCGAACTCTGTGATCATTTTCCAAGTCACGTGATTAAGGATGCGCACCTAAGGGGAGAGAGTGCGCGTGAGAGCCCCTGGCGGGCGCCGTGCCTGCAGCATCTCCACGTGTGCTACTGGGTCTCACCTTCCCGTCATAGCTTCCGATGGCCAGGAACTGACTGCTGGGGCTCCAGGCCACAGACTTGACGCCCAGGGACCACTCGTAGGCACAGTATGCGGACAAGAGCCGGCCGTCCAAGGAGTAGAGCAGGACCTTGTACTGCGGGAGACAGTGCAGATGTTGACGCTCACTCTGACCGGAGCATGGGGGGGTGGGGGGGGGGTGGAATGGGGACACAGCCGATGGCCAGCGGGAGGTCAGAAGGAAGACCGGTGGAGCGGGACAGGCCCTCCCGCAGAAGGGACAGTGGGGACCTTGGCCGCAAACGTAAGGACTCGCTGGTCAAAGGGCTGGGCTTGGCATCGGAGCCTGGTGAGCCGACCGAGCCTCCACATTCAGAAAGCGTAGGGTAAACACAGGTCAAAGCACCCCAACACACAGGGTCTGCCTGGTCACCCTGCATACCTCCAGGCAGGTGTCCCACACTGCCAGCACACAGCCGTTTGGGGCCCACTCAATCCCTGCAAGGTCCTGGGTCTCTGTGTCAAAGTGCTTCCAAAGCAAGACAGGGAAACATTAAATTCGAAAATGTTTTCTTGAACAAATACACATTTTATCAATGACGTTGGGAACACGTTTCGTATTTAATTTCCTTGTACAGAAATGGACAATGTCTCCAGCCTGTCCTTCCGTCGTTAAAATCCTGCCTGAGCACTCAGGAGGCCCCAGGCGGGCCAGGAGCGCGCCTGGCCAGGAGCGTGCCGCGGCTGGAGCCCACCGGGCAGGACGGTGCCCAGCACCACTGGCTGTGACGCAGCTCCCGCCGCCTGGCACCGCCCCCCCCCCCTCCCGCCTCCCTCCCCCTTCCCGCCTGGCTAGGCCTCACTCCTGGAAGATCAGCTCGGGCGAGATCCCGCCAGGACACCCCGTGCCCAGGTCGATGGGGCCGCCTCCGTGCTCTGGCAGGAGGGGCACTGCCAGTCTGAAGGCCCTTCCGCACCCACCCGGCCCATGGAGCTGAGTCTGGCCAGGGGAGGAGGGCCCCGCGCACCCGGCCGGGGCCCCTGGAGGCTGGCCCAGAGCAGACCCTCCAGGGGCAGCAGCCCCTGGGCGAACCGCACGGCCCTAACAAGAGGACAGCGGCTCACGCCAATGGCCTGTGGCCGCCCAGCTCACCGGCAGCCCCCCCCCCCCCCCCCCGCCATGACCCGCCCGCCATGATGGCGCTGCCGCGACCCCTCCCAAAGGTGCCCGGGGCCTCGGAGACGCGAGGCGTCAGCTGCCCCCGCCCCGCGGCCGGCAGCGCACCCCCTACCCGCAGGAGCTGCCAGTCGCTGCAGACGAAGACGCTCACGTGGTCCTGGCAGTCGCGCCGCTCCGCCAGCGCCATGTAGCGGCCGTCCCGGGTAAAGGAGACCCCTGGCGGGAGGAGAGGGGTGGGGGGGCGGTGGCAGAGAGAGAGGGAGAAGGGAACCGAAGCGGACTCCGCCCCCGACAGCACAGAGCCCGACCTGGGAGCGCAGAGATCACGAGCTGAGCCCAAGGCGGACCCTCAGCCGGCCGACTGAGCCACGCAGGCCCCCAACTTCCTACGTGTACTTTTGAATTACCCGGGAGAAGAAAACGTAAGGTCGGAGTTTAGAAATAAGCTTTGGTTGAAAACGTGAAACCGTATTTTCCGTTCTGTGTTAGTTGCAAGGCCCCAGGCCCCAGCTCACACTTCCTGAGCCACAAGAACACACAAGGCGCTGCTGTCTGCACCTATCGCGGCGACTTCACGATTCAGGGACGGGCACCCCACTCGCTCTCCGCGGTCCAACCGAGTCCCGCGGTGGCCGGCTGGGCGGGGTGGCCGCCCTCTCCCCGGCACAGAGACCACAGAGCTGGCCAACAGAAGTCTGGAGGCCTGAAGTGCAGAACTGGGGGGGGGGGGGGGGGCCAGGTCCTGGGACACACATCAACCGAAGGGACCTGATCCCCAGTCCTACGACAGGAAGGGAACCGCACGTAAAGCCGACTTCTCTGAGGTCCTTTAAACCACTGTGGTTCTATCTTGAAAGGGGAGCCCTCGTCCTCGGGAGACACACACGGAACTATTCACAGAGAAGCATCAGCTGGTCTGGGGCGTGGAGAAAGAAGCTGGCCACACGCTGATAAGCCGCTGAGACTACTGTGCCCGTAAATTTTCTGTATTAAAAAAGTGTCCCTCTCCGCCCCCCCCCCCCCCCCGCCCCCGCCCCCGGGCCCTGAACAAAACCAACAAAGAAACAGCTTTCAAATCAGCTTTGGCCGACTCACCCTGCTGACAGGCTTTGGGGTATTTGATGTAAGACACGGACTTTGTGCACAAGGACCAGACAGTTATCCGCAGCTGTCGAGAACGGGAAAGAGAAACGGTGCCGGTTTAGCAGCTGGGAAGACGGCGGTTAAGTCATAGACCGGCATCAGTGACCCAGCAAGAGGTTTACTGCAGAATTGAGAACAGCAGTTGCCCCTGGGTGTCCCCCCCACCCCACCCCAGTCTCCCGCCCTTTCATTTCATGCTCCTGGTGTTTGGTTTTCTTTTTGTAACAGTATCGCGTGAGCGGCACAAAGTCGAACATAAGTGCATTTCGTTTAAAATTTCAAAGTAACTGCGGTTTTCTTCTCGTAACAAACGTGCAGACGCCGGCAGGCAAGCTGTCCAGGACGCTGGGTGTCCCGGGGACTGAGCGAGGTCAACCTGCTTGGTCCTCTGCCTCAGCAGACTCGTGAGCAGGAGGTGGCGGCAGAAGGGCCCGTGCGGTGGCCCCACAGGGTTTCTGGGGGTGACTGCTCTGTCAGCCGGCCGGCCCCTCCTCTCCCGCCTGCGTGCCTGGCGGGGTGGTCACGGACACCCGTCCCCAGGAAGAGCCCCACAGTATAGCTTTAAAGCGTTCAAACACCCGTCTACATTTACATCTAATATTGAGGTTCTATGACCCCCTAGATCCCATTAGAGTTTAAAAGGGAATAACCACAATTTCTTAACCCCGATTCCTAGTATTGTTTCTAAAAACTGTCTCCGTGCCCTTCCCGTTGGCTGACGTGGCAGTTCACTACTTGACGAGCGTCCAACAGCTGACTCTGAACAAGGACAACGCTGGAAAACACACTGACCTGGTTTCCAGATTTACTGTGAAGTACAATAATCAGAGAGTATGCTGTTCGCACAAAGCGAGGCTAATAGGTCAGTGGAACAAGACAGAATCCGGAAACAGACCTGCACACACACAGGCAACGGGTTTTTGACAGAAGCGCGAGTGGAAAAGATCTAAACTCAAAATAGGTCCTATGTCTACACTTAGGAGCCCAAACCATAAAACTTGTAGAAGAAAACAGAATAAACTCTTTTTGGATCTTGGGTTGGGTGGGGATTTTAGATGCACAAAACATGAAAAAAAAACAAAAAAAAACAAAAAAAACCCTGATCCGTTAGACTCCATTAAAAGGAAACATTTCTGCTCTTTAAAGGAAGCTGTTAACTAACTGAGAGGGCAACCTGTAGGAGAAAACACTTGCCAGGCGCGTGTCTAGGAAAGGACTCGCATCCAGAATATAGTAGAAGAAACTTCACAGTTGAGTAACGTGACTAGCCACCCGACAAAGAAACGAACAGACAAGTCCTACGATAACGGGCATGTGACAGAGGTCTAATGGCATTAGTCATGAGGACAATGCAAACTAAAACCACAGGCAGGGGCGTCTGGGAGGCTCAGGTGGCTGGGCATCCAACTTCAGCTCAGGTCATGATCTCTGGGTTTGTGAGATCGAGCCCCATGTCGGGCTGTGTGCCGACAGCTAGGAGCCTGCTTGGGATTTCTCTCTCTCTGTCTCTCTCTCTCTCTCTCTCTGTCTCTGCCTCTTCCCCACTTGTGCTCTCTGTCTCTCTCTTTCTCAAAATAAATAAACTTAAAACAAAAACAAAAACAAAAAAACCACAGGGAGACACCACGACACAAGACTGACTACAGCAGAAAACCGCACTGACACGTGTCGAGGGTCGTGAGAGTGTAGACACCTGAGCTCTAACCTGGGGGGGCAGCCACGTTAGAGAGCAGTTGGCAGTTTCCTGAAGCGTTCTGCATGCGCCCCCCTGGCACCGCCTCCTAGGGATTTACCCAAGTCAAATGACGTGCGTCCCAGCAGCTCTTTCCGGACGGCGCCCACGGGAAAGCGCCCACGGCCTGCCAGATGGTGGACGGAAAGCAGATGCCATGTCCCCGTGCCACGGAATGGCGCCCGGCCACGAGGGACCGCCACTGATACCCTCAGTGACAGCACAGCGCTGACTGACAGAGGCCAAACACAGAGCCCCCCACGCCACGTGGCCCCACCGACCGAGAAGCAGGCAGTGGCTATCCGGGAGCAGCGGTGGGCGCGGACGGGGCTGTCCACGTCCTGGCTGAGCTGCGCGCCTCAAGGGGTGAATGGTGCTTGTCGGTGGTTTTAACTGGCTTTGTGGACACATAAGAAAAAGGTTTTCGGCTTATTTTTTTTTGAGGCAGCTACGGGCTGTTTACAACACAGACAGACACTGAAATTTAAGGACACGGGAAGGTGGAAAAGTAACAGGAGTGAAAAAGAAAAACCACGAGAGCCACAGGCGAACAGCTGACAGCACAGGTTTGTGAGGCAAAAAGATCCACGAGGGACCACGAACGATCAGTTACAATCAAGGCTCCGCTGGCCGTGAGGACATAACATCCTCAGTCCGAGCGCAGCTGGTAACAGCACCTCACAAGTACAGTAAACAAACCAACACCACACGGGCAACGGGAGGGGGCAGCCCCACAGACACCGACACGCTACAAACGCGGGGACGTAAGCAGTGTGGCACAGCAAACCGGCGTGCCAACAGCGGAAGAGGAAGGAAAATCGGAAATTTTATGTAAACATAAAGAAATTCAGTTCTTGATAAACGTCGTTGGGAAAAAGATAGACGTGGATCTCTTCCTCACACCACACAGTCCACAGGAACCTGAAGCGCATATTAATCAAGTGTGCGAGAGTGTGCATGTGTGTAAAACAAGGTATGAAAGCACTCAAACTCACTAATAGTCAGGAAACAAGTAAAACCACAATGCACTTCCTCTGTAGCTCCACTGGCCTGGCAGCTACCTATCTATCACCTATCTATCTATCTATCTATCTATCTATCTATCTATCTATTTATTTTTGAGAGAGACAGAGACAGAATGCGAGTGGGTTAGGGGCAGAGAGAGAGGGAGACACAGAATCCGAAGCAGGCTCCAGGGTCCGAGCTGTCAGCACAGAGCCCGACACGGGGCTCAAACTCACAAACCGAGATCATGACCCGAGCTGAGGTTGGACGCTCAACTGACAGAGCCACCCCCGTGGCCCCGAAGTTGTTTTTTAAAGTTAGATTCATGCTGGGGCACCTGGCTGGCTCAGTTGGGGAAGTATGTGACTCGTGATCTCCGTGTTGTGAGTTCAAGCCCCATGTTGGATGTAGAGATTACTTAAATAAAAATAAAACTTTAAAAAATAATAATAGTAAATAAAATTAGACTCGTGTTGTCAGGAACTTGAATGAACTTAGAAGGAAATTAGAATTTCACTCATTTTTCTTTTTTTATGTTTACTTAATTTTGGGAGAGACAGAGTGCTAGCAGCAGAGGGGCAGAGAGAGAGTGGGGGGTGGGGAGGAGACCGAATCCGAAGCAGGCTCCAGGCTCTGAGCTGTCAGCACAAAGCCTGACTCGGGGCTCGAACTCACGAACTGTGAGGTTATGACCTGAGCCAAAGTCAGACGCTTAACCGACTGAGCCCCCCAGGCGCCCCAGGACTGGCAGTCAGTTTAAATCCCAATAAAAAGCTTTGGAAAGTCGAATGCCATCTACTATAAGCAGGCAGTCCCCCAGGCTACCCCCGACAGGGTGCCTCAATATAGGTCACGTACAATATACTCCCAGCACCGTGGCCCCTACCCTCTTGAACACCGGCAGCAGCAGAGGGCAGACAGGTGTGCCGTGACTTCCCCTGCGAGGAACAGCAGAGTGAGCCACACCTTCCAGACGGACGAACACCGAGGGCGAAGAGAACCACCCGGGAATACAGAGGACGAACTCACGTCAGCAAACTGGAAACAGATGCAAAGCAAGCAACAGTGTATACGCTCGTTGTGCATGCGCACACATGTGCGCGCACACACACACACACACACGCGCGCACACACGACCCAAAGGGAAGCAAGAACGGGTTAACACAGAACGCAGGGTCCGTCCCGCCTCTGTGGGGCATGCAGGCAGCCCTGCTCTGGGCCTCGGGGGTGGGGTGGGGCACACAGTGCTTCACCCTCGGGGACCCTGTGCAAAGGGCCTGTCACATTCGTGTACGGGAGGCAGGGAGGCCCTGGCACACGCCCGTCTGGACACTGGATTCTGGCCCCAAGAATTCTAATCACGGAGACTGTCGGGTGAGGCCGTATAAGCAGTTCAACACGTCTGAAAACTTCCAAGTTGCAAACGTCTTTAAAAGGCCAACGTGTGCAGCTCTGGGTCTCGGTCCACTTTCTGTCTGACTCCGGATTTCAGCTCAGGTCATGATCTCGCGTGAGATCGAGCCTCTCACTGGGCTCTGCACCAAGCATATGGAGCCTGCTCAAGATTCTCTCTCCCTCCCTCCCTCTCTCTCTGCCCCCACCCCCACTCTCTCTCAAATTAAAAATGAATGAATGGGGGCGCCTGGGTGGCTCAGTCGGTTGAGCGTCCGACTTCAGCTCAGGTCATGATCTCGCGGCTCATGGGTTCGGGCCCCGCGTTGGGCTCTGTGCTGACAGCTCGGAGCCTGGAGCCTGTAGCCTGCTTTGGATTCTGTGTCGTCCTCTCTCTCTGCCCCTAAGCCACTCGCATTCTGTCTCTGTCTCTCTCAGAAATCAATAAACATTAAAAAAATAAATAAATAAAATAAAATATAAAAAAAAAATGAATGAATGAATGAAAAGTCACCATGTGCACCGCAAAGAAACCAAGTGCCCTGCGTCCTGCTCAGTCTCCGACAGCCTGTATGAGCAGACGCCACATCAAAAGCGGGTCTTAAACCGAAACAGAAGGTACATGAAGCCACACGGCCGTCTGAGGCGGCCGACTCAGCCGCCCCCTCACGGCTGGACACAGACCTTCTCCCACACGATGCCAACTTGAAAAAGACCCGATGATGACATCCCACAGGGTCACCCGGCACCCTCACGGCTGGGCACAGACACTCGCCCTCGCCCTCACCACACGCACGCACTGTCCCCTCTGCAGCCTGGGGCGGGGCTCCTGCAGGGCACCGGGCAGCCCAGGCCTGGGGGTTCGGGCCCACACGCTGGGTCATGACGCCCCCTCAAAAGGCACATCGTTAACGGGATCTGCGCATTTTTCTGTCTTTGAAAACAACACTGCTGACACCAAAGACCTTCTACCCCAACACCTTATATGTGCAAATTCCCTAACTTTGGGGGGGGGGGGAGCCCCAGCGAGGCTCGGACAGGACGCAGCAGCGACCGGTGGTCACAGGTCAGGCATCTTAAAGATGTAAAGTCGATCGTAGTGAATTCATCTTCTACCCCCGAAGTAAAGGAACTGTTTAATTCTTAAATCCTGTCATTTAAAACCCACGTTACTTTTCCTTAAATTTGGGCAGAAAGATCATATAACAACCGTGTCGACCTAAGACACACATCTTTCTCCGTCTCTCCCTCTCTCCCCATATATGTATATACATATCTGAAAGATACACATCGTTCTCCAAAATTCACCCGCCTGACCGCTACCCAGCAATTTCTGGAGAAAGGCGCGAGGAGTCACCCTCCTCCGCTCGACGACGTGTGCCCGGGGCCTTTGCACTTACATGGAACTCGGTTGTGTTGAGGATGTGGCGGCCGTCGGGGCTCCAGCAGGAGGCCACCAGTCCGGCCGAGCCCTCGTCGATCCTGCAGTGCCACTCCGGCTGCTCCAGGGACCACACCTGGATTCGCAACGGACAGAAACGCAGACCCACAACACATGAGCGCACGCGCGTCAAGCTGGAAAACAGCCGGTTCAACGGCACAGGGTCAGGACACAGGGCGCGTTTCCACATCCGCCACGAGGCAGGGCTGGAGCCGGACCGCGGCACAAAAGCCACGCTCCCGGGGGACTTCACAGTGGTGGTTTTAAAGCCCTTCGCCAGCCCTCCAAGCTCCTTCGGGGAAACTTCAGATCTGCTAGAAACGCATCTTCGCGCTTCCCCAAACCCGTGAGGCCCAAGCTTCTAGACAGCTGTCTGTGGACACTTCCTCTTACTGAATTCTACCTGATGACACATTAAGGCTAGTTAAGTGTTTTCCTGTTTTCAAAGTACTTAAGCTATTAGGGAACCGTTATAATTTTAAGAGGAAACCGGCTTGAGCCGCCTCGCCTTTTCTTCTCAAACTACAAGGGCACAGAAGAGGCTGCTCCTTCCCGGTTACCCTCAGGCAAGAGCCCCTGGCTCCCAGCCCCGCGGGCGGCGCACCTGAACCTGCCCCCGCTTGTACATGGCGCACAGGATGAAGAGGGAGTCCGCCGACCACTCGATGTGCTGGATCTGGTCCAGGCACGTGTACAGGTGAAGGATCTGGAGGGTGTGCACATCCCGGACCACTAAGCGGTACTGGACGCAAGAAGCCTAAAAACGGGGAAAAAAAAAAAGCCCTTGATGGTCTAACAGTCTAAGGGAAGGGAGCTCAGGAGCCGGTGCTCCCCTCCGTCCAGGAATTCTAGCTCCCTCTGTCCTTCCGGATGGATTTCCTGCCTGGACGGCCTCATGTTCACAGACTGTCACTCCCTCTAAGGATAAGGGTTCACGAAAAGACAAGGTTGAAATACACAAACTAGGTGTTGACGTTGCTCCAGGATAAGACATTCTGTTAAAACTCTCTACTAGGTCATTTTTTACTTTCTGACTCGCGTCTTAAAAACTAAAGCAGGACACAGCGCGGGACCAGCTCTTCTGTGAACTAAGCCAGCACTCTGCTGCTTTAACCACCGGCAGACAAGGCACAGGGAGTGCGGACGGGGGCCTCAGGGTCCTTGGTGAGAAGGACCACGGAGAAGTAAGGACGAGGCAACAGAAAATACGTATTTGTCCCTGCCCCCAGGCCCTGGCACAGGACTCCTCGAGTCCTTGAAACGTCCTGGGTGGTAGGAGCGTCTTTTGTTCTAACGAGGCAACTCTAAGTGGGCTCCTGGCCACCAGAAATACCAGCCATGATTAGAAGCTTGGAATGTTCAGTCCCACTCCCCCTTCTCCAGAGAGTGGAGAGGGGCTGGAAGCGGAGTTAATAATTCATCACGAGGAATCCTCTGTAAAATGCCAACAGGACAGTGTTCAGAGAGCTCCAGGCCGGTGAACACAGGCACACAGGGCAGGTGACGCACCCACCCCCACGGGGACAGCGGCTCCTGCACTCGGGACCCTCCTGGACCTTGTCTTCTGGATCTCTTCACCTGGCTGTTCACCTGGATCCTCTCTGGTCTCCTTTAGCACAAGTGTCTGAGCTCTGTGAGCCATGCTGGCAAATCAGCCGAACCCGAGGAGGGGGCTGTGGGAGCCTCTGACTGGTGGCCCAGGCAGACGGAAGTTGTGGGGAGCTCGAGGACCCGCAGCTCTGGCTGGAATCTGAAGTGGGGGGCACAGGGGCGCGTGGGGGGCACAGCTGGTGAAGCGCCCGCCTTCGGCTCACGTCACCATCTCATGCTTCAGGAGTTCCAGCCCCACATCGGGCTCACTGCCGTCAGCACGGAGCCCGCCGCAGATCCTGCCCCCCTCTCTGCCGCGCCCCTGCTCGTGCTCTTTCTCTATCTCTCAAAAATGAAAAAAAAAAAATAAATAAAACAAACAAGAAAATAAACATTAACAAAAAATGCAGTGGGTGGGCGGTCCACCTCGGGTCTCCAGGGGGACGGTGCCAGAATCGAGCTGTGTGGCACCCGCTGGTGTCCTGGGGGCTTGTGTGCTGTGACACACCCCCAGCTCCTGGCAAACATGATGGGAAGTGTCAGCAGTGCGGCGAGTGTAACAGCAGCCGCGGGACAGCAGAGGCGAGGAGCAACAGCAGGCTGACGCTTTCCCGACACAGGAGGGGACGCAGGGAGGTTTCTCTTCCACTGCGGGGACTTATTCTGAGTACTGACCGTGAAGATGTTTAAGCGTTAATCCTGTTTTCTTGAAGAGGCAGTCTGTGTTCCACCTTTGTTAATAATACCCATATCTAAGCAAATTATTTGGGTCTACTCATCTGATTTTAGATTATATTATAGTTTAAAAATCAAGAACTGGTCTAAAAAAAATTTTTTTTTAATGTTTAGTTTTGAGAGAGGGAGAGAGGGAGATAGAGAATCCGAAGCAGCTCCAGGCTCTGAGCTGTCAGCACAGAGCCCAAAACTGGGCTCGAACTCATACACCCCGAGATCGTGACCTGAGCCAAAGTCAGATGCTTAACTGACTGGGCCGCCCAGGCACCCCAAGAACTGATTTTTAAATGTTAATTGCTTCGTTTTTATCAAGATCAAACTCAATTATTGGTTTGTGTTTTACAAACCTTTTCCTTTCCTTTTGAAAAAAACCTCGGGGCGCCTGGGGAGCTCCTTGTGATCTCATGGTTTGTGAGGGAGTGTGAGTTCTGTGAGTTTGAGCCGTGGGCTCCATGATGCTGACGAGGAGCCTGCTTGGGATTCTCTCTCTCCTCTCTCTGCCCCTCCCCCACTCGTACGCTCTCACTCTCAAAAATAAAGTTTAAAAAACACACCTCGGGGCGCCTGGGTGGCTTAAGTCGGTTAAGCATCCGACTTCGGCTCAGGTCACGATCTCACGGGTTGTGAGTTCGAGCCCCGCGTCGGGCTCTGGGCTGATAGCTCAGAGCCTGGAGCCTGTTTCGGATTCTGTGTCTCCCTCTCTCTGCCCCTCCCCTGTTCACACTCTGTCTCTCTCAAAAATAAATAAACATTAAAAAAAAATTTTTTTTTTTAAATAAAAAATAAAAAAATAAAAAACACACCTCATGAGTCTTCCTTGTAAAAAGGAGAAGGGGAGGGTAACTTCAGGTGAGAACATGTGTCACATTGTAGCTTTGTCATCAGTTACAGTGAGCTCCTTAAGCCAGGGAGTATGTGTCGTGGCATGGAAAAACCATTATCAGATCTGTTGCAAGATATTAAAAACGGCAACACAGACCTACTTTCTTCAGGGTTTAGGATAGAGCTTCGAAGAACAAGACTCCAGTAACACCATATTTCCACCAGGGTGGAGAAGCCAAAAAAAAAAAAAAAAAAGGCACCAAAATGAAGCAAAGGAACATAGTCTCTCTCTTTATAATTCACTGGAATTTTCATAGACGATTTTTTTAAACAACGAATTTATGGGGAGCACTTCAAAAAATACGCGACGGTTTCTGGGGGTGAACTTGAAGCTGAAGACATTGTGTATCTCTCAGCAGAATGCTAATTTATGTATTTAGGATAATACCTCCACAAAGGAGTTCCAGTTTCAAAGAGCTGCACAAAGAACAGGAATGTTCAGGTTCAAACTGAAAAGAAGTCATGAAGCGTCGGTGAGTTAACATACAGAACTAAACAGACACACCTTCTTTTTTTTTAACAGACACACTTTCTATAAGGCTGATCTTTTCCTGAATGGACTTCCAGTGCCAATCATACCGCCAGGTCCCGAGGATACACACTGATGATGCTGGTGTGTTTCCTGCACAGACTGGCTCAGCGATTTCAGCAGCATTTGGTCGCCCCCCCCCCCCCCCCCCGCCCGAAGCCCAATCGGTCGAATAAACAGCAGTGCGGACGACTGGACTCATCCGGGCAGAGACTGCTGGTTATTTCAATCGCTTATTTGCCATATGGTGGGGGGCGGGGAGGACTAGCAAAGACAGTGGCTGCACCAGGTTACAGCCAACAGAACTAGGTATGTCCCCCCATGTGTCAAAATTACAACAACGAGCTGATATCCTCTGTACCCTCAGATGTGTGACGACAACACTGCCATTACCTGCCTCTGACAGATGGAAACTGGGGTGTAGGGAGGCTGGCACCTGCCCACGCCCCATTCCCCCGGGGCCCCTGCTTGGGGCATCTGTCAAGTCCCCAGCCCCGGTGTCCGCCCGGGTCACGTGCCCTGGGTCCCCTGCTCCAGGGCGCCTGCCTCTGTGTCCGCCCGGGGCCCCCGTCCGAGTCCCCAGCCCAGGGTCCCCTGCCTCGGGTGTCAGCCGGGGTCACGTGCCCTGGGTCCCCAGCCTCGGGTGTCAGCCCGGGGCCCCTGCTTGAGGCCCGCACCGGCGGACCCCCAAGCTGCCCCCTCCTCCCGGGCCCCGCGGCCGCTCACCAGGTACTTGCCGTCCGGGGAGAACTTGCAGAGCAGGCCGGAGAGCTTGAACACCTCGGAGAAGTTCATGGCGGCCTCCGACCCCCGGCCCCGGGCGCTCCACTCCAGCCGGGTCTGCAGCAACCGCCAACACCGCGGCCGGAAGTGACGGAGGGCGGAAGCACCTCGCAGCCTATCAGGGCCCCGGGTGCCCGCGCAGCATTGTGGGGCTTGTAGTTCGCGCGTTCCCGCGCCGCCGCGCTTCTCGCCACCAGGACGATCCGCCCCCCAGCGAGGGTTGACACCGAAAACGCGGGACGCGCGCTCAAGTTGAATTTCAGGCAAACAACGAATCATTTTTGTGGGAAAATGCTCTCAGATACTGTATGGGACAAACACCAAAAAAGTACCCGCTTATCTGAATTTCAAATGTAAACGGGCGACCTGTGTGTCCGCTTACGTTTGAGTGTTTATACTTACACGTGAATACGCTTAGATGTTAACTACGTTTACGGACACCTACGCGCTTCTATCTAAATACGTAATAGTGTATATACACACCTTGTATGTTATACACGGTGAATAAGTACGTATTCGTTTTCTGGGTTTTTTTCTTCTCTTTTTTCTTTCTTTTTGGCTGAATTGGGCAACCCTGCCTGCAGGGAGGCCCTCGCCTCCCCTCGGGCACTACGCAGATCTGGGGAGAATGCCTTTGGCGTTTGCACCCGCGCGGAGGAGAGGGAGAGCGCAGGGCGCGACCTGGCACCTGCCCACGCAGGACGGCGCGCGCCTGTGTCAGCGCGGGTGTTGCGCACCTTGCTGGCGCCCCCGCGAGTGCCTTGTCCTCTCGCCCTCTGGGAACCCCTGGTCCTCTTCCCCCGAAGGAGGCTTGCCCCATGACCCGACCAGGCCCTGCCAGAGCCTCCGCAGTCTACCGGGGCCGGCGGACCCAGACACTCACGCTCGCCCCTCCCTTCTGAGAAGCCAGACCCAGCCTGGGCCCTCCCCACACCTCTGTGCTCACAGCCCCCGGCCTGCAGCCTGCCGACGTCCCCCGCCACCCCCTTTTGGAACACACGGGCAGGGGGTGCGTGCACGCGTCCAGCTAGGCGGTACCACAGCTCCATCCGTCTTTGTGTCTCCAGCCCCCGCGAATCTAAACCAGTGGGTGAGCAGTAAAGGTGTGTGGAAGTGAGCCAGGTCCGCCAGGGGAACGCGGACCCAGGCGGCCAGAGAACCCAGTTTGCACCAGCCCGGCTCGTACGCAGTTCCACAGGCGACACTGACACGAGGGTCACGCGAGCCTGGGGACGCCGGTTCGGAGGCCGATAACGGGTCCCGAGAGCACCGGAACGCAGTTCACGGCAGGTGCACGCCGCGAGAGCCTTTCCAAACGTGTCCTGCGGGTCGGGTTCTCTGGCCAAGGACCCGCCCAGAGTGGGTCCAGACCCGTGGAGCCGTGGCTGACACCGGTCCGAGGGAAGACTCGGCCCGAGGCCGGTGTCTGAGCGTAGAGAGCAATTCCGAGTGCACGATCCACGTGTCGCCGCGGACGCCCACGCGCACCTGCGCGAAGAAGAGAAACCAGCGCTGGGGGCGGCAGGCGGCGGCCAGGGGAGGGAGGGAGCAGGGTGCGCGCCGCGACCTGGGAGTGTTTGCGTCACCAGATCCTCCCCAGGGGCCAAGGGACACAACCTCCGCCCAGGATGAGTGTGGGCTGGGGCCAGACAGTCGTTCCCAGAGGGTCCCCCCGGATCCGCAATGCCGAGCGGGGCCGGGGAGCGGCCGTGACCTCGGCTCGGTGTCAGTATAGATGGCGCGCCCTCCTCAGAGTCTCACTGGAGCCCCACGGGCGCAAACGGCCCCACCCAGTCCCCTCGCCCTGGGACCGCGCCCCTCACCCCTGCTCCCGGCAGCGAGGGCGGACACTCCGAGGACCAGGACGGCTCTTCCCCTGCTCCCGGGGGTCTGAGCGCCCCGCGCACGGAGGAGCCCAGCGCCGGTGGGGGCGGGAGGGCCGCCCGGGGTGTCGGGAAAATGCGGCGTCTGGGGGGTGGGGTGGGGCGGGGGGAGCAAGGCGTCGGGACGCGGAGCCTGCTTGGCTGCCCGCCCTCGCTCCCGCGCGCCCTCGCCCGCGGCCCCCAAGCTGGCCGAGGGTCGCGGTCCCCATCTCGCCTGCGTCCGGCCCGGGGTAGGCGGCCCAACGGGCTCCGCAGGGGCGACGCGCGCCAAAAGGCGGCGGGAAGGAGGCGGGGCAGAGCGCGCCCGGGACCCCGACTCGCACGCGGCCAGCTGGGGGGG